GAAGTAACCTGAGTAGGCAGTGGGCCTTCTGGGATTAGTGCTAAGACATGTAGCAAATCACTCCAATGCATATGTGGCCTTTGCCACCATAGGAGTATTTTTTTCTTTTCATTTGCTTGGATCCCAGTTCATTGATAGCAAGAGTAGAAGAGCATGAGGTAAGAAAGGTTAGAAAAACTGTGGTCAGAAAACACTGGACTCAGTTTGTGGTGCAGATCTATCTTCTTGATTTAAGTAGCTAGAGTGTTAATTGTGTTTCTAACAAACACAGGAGTCCTGATTTACCACCAAAAGTCATAATTAGAGAACTCAAGATTAACCAACAGAAGTTATGATCAACAACAGAAATCATAGCTAGCCAACACGAATCCATGTTAATGATGCTTAACATGGTTAACCAACAGAAGTCTTGACATGATTACATGTCAAACCAGTGGATCTTCTACTAACTTCTGAGAAATCCGGCTGCTCACTTAAGTACAGACAATATCATCCTCAGGGAAAGCATTACTGTGGAGGAATATTTTATGGAATTAAGGTATAGTACATCCAGGATTCTCACTCTGTCTCGGATTAGAGCTGAGGGCATCATCATTTGTTCATTTAACAACTGTTTATTGACTATCTACCATGTAAATTCCCTGTCCCAGTACTGGGGATATTCAGCTAATATGCACCCATACAGTTTTATGAGGTGTTGAAATACTGAAGTACTTCCCTACCATCTGTCGAATAACCATTGCCTCCAGTCTTTCCCTACCCCCACCCAAGTCCACAGTCTTGGTTCCGGGGAAGGCACCTTAAACACTGCTTCGAGGCCACGTGGGAGCCCAACAACCTGCCCACTTTAGTTCTGGGGAAGCTGGCCTCCTGTCCCTGCTTCTCTGTCAGGGCATCAGCAAGGAAGAAGTCACACTTGCTGGTGGTACTGTGACACGCAGTTGTAGAAATCTGTGATACCCATTTGGCTCCCTAGGACTGTGACTGCTGGCCACAGCCTGGCTTTCCCCCATGTTGCCCATGTATCCTCCGAAGTGAACAGTACTATTTAATATTTTAAATATTATACTTGAATTGGAATAATATAGAAAGATAAGCAAATACCAGGGTTACCTAGAAGAGGAAGCATTTATGTGTGCTGGGATCAGTCAGAGAAGGCTTCCTGGATGAGGTGACATACATCTTGAAGACAGAATTTTTCTGGGTTTACTGGGAAAAGGATGTTTCAGGAAAGTGAGAATAAAACTGTGGGGGTGCCTGGGTGGCTCAGTCAGTTAAGCATCCAACTCTTGATTTCTGCTTGGGTCATAATCTCAGAGTTGTGAGATCAAGCCCTGTGTCCTGCTTGCACTGAGCATGGAGCCTGCTTAAGATTCTCTCTTTCCCGCTCCCTCTGCCCCTCCCCCACGGCCTCCCCCCCCAACAAAAAAGAATAAAGTTGTGGTGTCAGTAACCCTAGACTAGTCCCCTACAAATTGCAGTTTTTGCCCGTACAGGTGGAGGACCTGTTCTTCCTTAGTCTTCAAACACCACCCCTTCCTTGCTCACAGAAACTCCTTCATCCTCACTTTCAAGGCATCCCACCTTGTCACTCTCTGGTGTGATGACACACTTGGAATCCCAGAAATGTACATTTGGAAAGGATCTTGGAAATGAGCCACCCAAGCCCCTCACTGAGAAGACGAGAGAGCTTCACCTCCTTGGGCTGAGTTGCCCAAGGCCACATAGTGGTCACGAGGAGGCTGCAATCCAGCCCCTGCACTTCCTCTCCACAGCTCTTCCTCTCCTGTCTCCTACCTCTTCTCTCTCCCTCTTCACCCCCCAGACTGCTCCTCCCAATGGGACCAAATCCTTCCTTTTACACGCTCAGCTTCTCAGGGCTTTCTCCTCCAGATGTGTCTCTGCCCATCCACTTGCTTAAAGGACTATCACCCTTTGGATGCAGCACTTCTAAAGCCCCTTTTTACGTATGACAAGATTGGGTTGCAGTTTTATTTCTCAAAGCATGAGGCTTCCAATTCTAGGTGGCACAGGTCCATGGCTCTCCATCTCACTGAACCACATAATGAGAAGCAATTTCTCTGAATTCCTCAAAGAGAAAGTCTCAAGTCAGTGCCAATCTGTCTCTAACATTTGCTTAGCTCCCTTTTCAGCGAGAAGTGACAGTCTGGGGTGCTCAGCCCTTAGCAGATCCAGTATCTAGTGAGAGCGAAATAATATCTGATTATTATTTTGCTTGACTTTCCTTTTATTTGTGTTATATTTGCCTTTTAATATTGACAGTTAGTGCTGGTTTTCAAATGAAGCCAGAGATTAAAGGTCTTCCTCCATTTTAAGTAATGTTAAAAATAAAAGGAAGAGTCAACTTAAGTAAAAATACTGAGTTGATAGAATTGAGGTGGCATGGGACTCCTGTGTCACCCACAGGCACACGTTAGGTCCTCAAAGCCTCAAAGCAGTGGTCTATGAGGAAATAAGGCTTAGATAATAATATCTCACATCTCCTAGGAGGAGGATTTGTAGAATGCAAACCTCTCTTTGGCCTCAAAGGGCTTTTCTGTTTACCCAATCCATGTATAAAAATACCTCCCAGCATATATGTTAGTCAGCAAGTATTCTACCGTGGTGGAAATGATTTACTGAAACTTAGACCTTCTCCTGATATCTAGCCAAAAATCTGATTGGAAAACCAAGAAGACCTATTTAGTTTCTGCCGACACTGTTACTGAAGCAGACTGAGTGGATAACTAATGACATAGAAAGTTCTTTACTTCTCTCTTCTTTCATTTGTATATCATGAGATTGTTTTTCTCCCCGTCTTGGTCACTCACTAAGAATTTGCTGAACTGAATATTTTTGGCTTTTTAATAAATGGAGGAGGTCACCTTTGTCCATACCTCACTGGTTTCACACATGCAGAAAAGACTGGATCTTCCATTGGGTCAGTGTTTCTTGGCAGGAGAGCAGTGCAGTTTCTGTAAATTGAGTTTGTACATCTGGCAGCCAAAAGTGTCCTGTAGGTATATTTTTTGCATGAAAAGATATGTTTGAGGTGACCACTCTGCACAGATTTTCTATTAGAGGCTCGGAGTATTGGTAACCTGTTATTTTAGATTTGGAGCATATCTGTAGCTCCAGAGGTACCAAAATAAACTGTGTTTTCTTGGAAAATGTGTGTGTCTGGGATGTGACAGGAGTTGCAACCTTAAACAAGATTTCCAGGCATTTACAGTTGAACCATGCCAGTAAAAATATGTTTATTTAGACATTAAAATCCTAGGGTGCCCACGTAAACATCCTAAACAACGTGTGTTACATGAGCTTTCTTTGTTAATGTGCTTTAGCTCTAAATGTTTTTAGTTCTGGTTCCTGGAGCGTTAATGCACTACAGGGAAAGTTGAACTCAGATGGTGAGTCTTATGTGCTGTTTAGCACATTCGGTGGCGTGTTTCTTACATCCAAGAGAATTGTTGCTAATGTAGGTAAAAGTCACATCACAGTTGAGAAGGTAAAGCTCCCTGCTCTTAATACTCCTAGCAATATGGAGGTATTTGTCGGGCAATTAGGAGAGAGAAAAGACAGCAGGTATACCCTTCACTCACTGCTCATTCATCTGTGGAGTAACAAGCAGCCCTTGATTATCCATTGTCTGCAAAACCGTGTGGGAGAAATGAGGAGGACAAAGAGGAGAAGGTGGCCACCACGTGCTCATGAGTCTGCAGTCTGCTTTATTTCATCAGCTTTTCACAAAAATTGGGATAAACTGCTGCTTTTGACAAAGTATAATTTTCAGAAAGTTGAGAAGTAACAACTCATTCAAATATTCAGTAAGTACATAGTTGAAGATTTATTGAACTCAAGAATGAGAGAAATAGCAGGATGGCAAAGCTGGTTCAAAGGAGGATTTGAGCAAAATATATAGGTGGCTAGGTAGATTGCTTGGTAGATAACAGTGAAAGGAAGAAAGAATGCTGGGATCAGACTGCAGAGTCAGATACAAAACCGGTTAATGTCCTACAAGGCAATAAAACAATGCCCTTTGGTTATATTTCAGCCAGACAGAAATCTTTGCACCTATCCTTAACAAATAGATTTGTAATTTACCAGCCTTTTACAGTCTTTACGGAGCCTGTGTCCAATCCATCGTAAAGAGTAAGTCAAACAAAGTTACATTTCCCAAGAGTGTCAGATGACTCTTAGGTAAGCTTGTCAAAAAGCTAATGCTGCAGAACAGTGCTGCCCCACAGAACTTTTGGCCATGATGAAGATCTCCCATACATGTGCTGTCCGGTGTGATAGCCACGAGCTATATATGGCTCTTGAGCATTTGAAATGTGGCTAGTGCAACTGAGGAATCGATTTTTAAATTTTATTTCATTTTTATTAATTTTCGTTTCAAAAGCTATTTGGACAGCACCACTCCAATGTGCCATTAAGTGGGCAGGCCTTTTTATGCCTTGTTTCCAGCCTTGGATAATATTTGTCTAAACACTCTGTAAATTAAATCATATTTTAGATGTTGTAATGAGCTAAATATGTGGGGAAGAAGTGGAAAAGACTTTCCTGAGAAGACCTCATTCTTCCCTGAATCTTATCATTTCTTTTGCAGATGTGATGCCTCTTATATTGGGTTTCTTGATAGTGGGCTCACCTGAATTTTTCTGGCCAGAAAGGGAGCTGCTTATGAAGTTAAGCTGTTTGGAGGGAACCCAGCTCTGCATAATGTTCTCCAAGTGAATTAGCTTGGTACTCATTTTTCCTTCAGCAAGATAATAATGGTCATGTCTAGTTTTGATTAAAAGGGGCTTTCTGATTTGAAACAAAGGGAGAGCTGACTATTAATATTTCACAAGGATTTTAAGGCTCAAATAAGTTAATTTTTCTGCTGCCATCACTTCATGACTCAGACGGAGCAATCAATGCAATGATAAGGCTGGTTTTGATTTCTCATGAAACTTGGTAGTTCTACTTAGTCTTCTCATCTTCTTGCTTGCTTGCAGGGCTTTTTCCGCAGAAGTATTCAGAAGAACATGATTTACACTTGTCACCGAGATAAGAACTGTGTTATTAATAAAGTCACCAGGAATCGATGCCAATACTGTCGACTCCAGAAGTGCTTTGAAGTGGGAATGTCCAAAGAATGTAAGTGGAGGCTCAAAAAACTTTTTTTCTGTCTTTGTCTAATCTATAAATATGATTTGCTCAGCTTCCAAAATCAAGTCGCAGAGGACAGAGTTCATGGAACTCAGACGTGACACTCAGGATAGATTGCCAAGGCTAGGTGTAAACAGAAGGGGTAGGAAAACAGAAGAACTGCGGGGGTTTTCAGATAAAACTGGAGTGGCAGTTGGGGAAAAGGCAGGAGCTGTGTGTTGTGGATGGCGGGTCTGTATTCCAGAGTGGTACTAACTCCCCGGGGGCTTCAGGGCCACCAGGATCTCAGGTATATCACACAGCCACTTAGAGACTCCATTTCCCCATCCTGACAGTGGGAACAAGAAGTTTTGCCTGTATCAGTGGGAACAAAATGAGACGAGAGGCATGGGTATTAATGGTAGTAATAATCAGCCCTTTTTCAGAGGGAAGGGGGGCATAAAACTTCTGTTGTGGGAGGAATATTTAGAAACTCGGTGCATTGGCATTTTTCCAAACTTGATTTAGGCTTTTTTCCTCCCAGCCACCCCCTCCTCCAAATAATTATACATTTTTTAATGCAAAAGAGAACATTTTAGTAAATTAAAAATTAGAGGTCCGTAAACATCTGATAATGGGGACTTGAAATATACATCATTTAATAAAGACAGTATGTACACTACAAAAAACTTCATTACTTACATTTCTCTCTTTGGTGCTTTCACATGGAGGGGACATGAAAGTGACAAGAAATGGCTTGGCTTGGGCAGGCCTAAGGAAGACGTAGGGTTGTGTGCCAGGTGAAGCACTTAATGTGATTGCTGCTGCTTCATTCAGCCCATGACTTGGGGATTTGGTGAAGGCAGACGGTGAGTGAGGCACTGGGCTCGTGGTGTAAGGGGGCGCTGGGGATGCCTGAGACATGGCCCCTGCCCTCTAAGAGTATGAGACAAAAAGCCAGGTACCAGGGAACCTGGATGGCTCAGTCAAGGAATTGACTCTTGATTTAGGCTCAGGTCATGATCTCAGGGCTGTGAGATGGAGCCCTTCATCAGTCTCTGCTCTCAGCGGGGAGTCTGCTTGAGATTCTTTCTCCCTCTTCTTCTGCCCATCCCACCACACCCCCACCCCAGCTCGTGCATGCTCTTTCTTTAAAAAAAAAAAAATCCGGGTACTTCAGCCATGATCTTACAGGCTGGTTCAAAGATGCATGTTACAGGACAAAGGCTCTCGGATTTTGGAACTGGGAAATGTGACCATTGGGTGGTGGGGACACTGAGGAGGGAAAGGCCCCAGAGCCAGCAGCACTGCTCTGAGGGTGCTCAGCTGGTTGACTGGCTTTTTCCTGGAGCAGCTTCTAGAGGATGTTGCCCAGCATCCATTCCATACTTCATCTTTCCTAAATGTACCCAGGGTTTAATATGCTTTTCCATTTCTTGGGTTTCTATACTCGAGGAAAAAACAGCAGGATTGGGAACAGTTCAGCTGACTCAAGCCAGGCATCCTATTCTTTGTCCCAGCTTGTCATATTCTGTTACTGGTTCATAGCGTGAATTTGTAACCTAGGCCAGTCCAATGAGAATGAATTCAAAACTTGTGCTTAGTATCCGTAAAAGAGAACAAGATAAATTAGACTTGATCAAAATAAGAAATGTCTGCTCTTCAACAGATACTGTGAAATGAATGAAAACACAAGGCACACCCTAAGAAAAAGTATTTACAATTGCACATCTGATTCAGGACTTGTATCTAGAATATACAAATCTCTGAAAATTCAATAATAAGAAAGCAAATAACCCACTTAAAAAAAAAAAACAAAACACTAGTGCCCTTCAAGAATGTCAAGATTATGAGTGGCAAAGACAGACTGAAAGACTATTCCAGATTAAGAGAGACATGCCAGTTATATATAATGCATAATCCAGATTGGATCCTGGGTTGGAGAGAAAAATAGCTATAAAGGACATTATTGGGACAGTGAGTGAAATCTGAACATGGACTGTAGATTATAGCATTGTAATATACTGTTGTATATTATATACTAGGAAATGTGAATTAGATGAAGGGTGTACAGGGGTTCTTTGTACTATTCTTGTAACTTCTTTTTTTTTTTTTTTTTAAAGATTTTATTTATTTATTTGAGAGAGAGAATGAGATAGAGCATGAGAGGGGGTAGGGTCAGAGGGAGAAGCAGACTCCCCGCCGAGCAGGGAGCCCGATGCGGGACTCGATCCCGGGACTCCAGGATCATGACCCGAGCCGAAGGCAGTCGCTTAACCAACTGAGCCACCCAGGCGCCCCTATTCTTGTAACTTCTGAGCAAATTTGAAATTTTGTCCTAATAAAATGACCCAAACAGAACAAAAAACGCATGCTTAGAATATTGGGACAGTTCCTGATGCATGTGAACAAGGAAGCAAGTAGCCCCAAGTGCCCCTAGTAGCTATCCTCCAACTCCAAGGGAAGTCACCTCTAGGACAAAGCAGGCACTATGGATGGAAGAGTGGAAAGAGGAAAGACAGACAGAAATAGGGCCCCGAATGGCATTATTGAATTGCTACACCAACCGACCCTAAAACCTCTGCCTCCAGCTAATTTTGTTATACTTGCCAAGAGGTGCCCGTTAAAGCAGTTGAAGTTGGGGGCTTGTTCGTATTTAGGGTCCTGATGAACAAGAATGGACTGGGTCATCAGGGAAGCATCCTGCCAATCCCTCCTGGGAGGGTTTTTTCTTTTTTCTCCAGAAAGTTCTATGTGTGGATGATGGGTCAGTTGACCACATCCCAGCCAGTTCTCTTTGATCCCTCCACACTTTAGAGCTATTGAATTACTTAAAATCAACGAATGTGAAGATACAGAGCTAATATTCACTTAGCCCAGGCCCCCCAACCCTGCCATTGAAGAGAAAAGCATGGCATTGCCCTGAAATAGCCAGATTTTTTTTATGTGTAAGTGAGACTCACAGGATGATCCCCTGACACTCCATTTTTGGTCTGACATTCTGTAGACATGGCTGTCACACTGCAGTTCTGTGGGAGAATTTTAGTCTAGGCTGAAATTATAAATGCGTAAGCCAGATGTGGACTCAGGGTAAATCAGTACTTTTGCATTTATTTTGTGTGGGCTGGAGACCCATTTCCTGCTTACATTACTTAAAACCCATATCCTGCTGCTCTGTAAAAACTGGCAGCTTGGTTGCCAATTAAAAAAAAAATAATGTTTACACCCCCAGGAAAACTCTAGTTTCAACCCTCAAGGAACTTATCACCTTAATTAGATTTAAAAATATAGAAATGAGAAGAAAATGGGATCATTATGCCCAAGTATACAAAAATAAATATATTTTCCTTAGAAGGAAATTGAAGGGAAAGGAATAAACACTTGGAGTATAGAGACTGAGGGTCTAATAGGATCTTTTTAAAGTTGAAACAGAAAGAAGCAGGAAAATATGAGAATCAGTAATCAATTATACCACAGTGTTCGCAACTGAAAGGAATCCAAGCATAATAGAGACTCATAGAATGTTAGAACTGAAAAAGGATCTTAGAGATTGATTTTCACTCACCTCTCTCACTTGACATAAAAGCACACTGGGACCCAGAAAGATGAAACTGTCTTCCCAGCAATCCCCAGCTGGCTAAAGACAGAACCAAGATCACAGTTCAGTTCTTCCCTCTTCTTGCCATGCTTTCTCGGCAGTACCAAGATTAGCAAGATTTGCATTCAGTTCTTGCTGTAGGTCATGAGGACTCATTAGAATGTGTCAGAACTTTTGGGATGCAAGTGACAGAAAACTCAGCTCAAACTTGGCATAAGCTTAAAACATTGGCACAGGGAACTGGACAGTCCAGAGTAACCCATATGCACCTGAGGGCTTGCCTTCCTCTTCAGGGAATGGTTCCCCTTTGCCTCCCACAGCTGTTTCTTACTGTGTTGGTTTTGTTTCCAGAAAGATTTTATAAATGGCTACTAAAGATGCCACCAACAGCGGCGGCTGAGAGTCTACCTGACACAAAAAGAGGCTCGGGGCCCCGTCATTCCATCAGTGCCCCGGGACCTGGTTCTCATTGGCCTCGTGCGCCCATATAACTGTCCCGCCTTGGGGGTGCTGGAGAGGTAAACCACTGTGATTGGCTAGGTCTGGATCACGTGCCAATCCCTGGAGCCCAGCCCTGGGGTTGATCCCGCCCAAACCAGGTGGGTCAGGAGTGTGGGAGGAAAGCATCCGTAAGTAGGGAATCGGAAAGACAGAAGGTAAAAATTTACTCCATGCTCAGGAAGACCCGTCAGGTCCCACGGTGCTGTTCTTATTCTTTGTGCTGTTGAAGGAAAGAAAGAAACCTAAGAATCCTATTATAGTAATAGCTAACGTAGCCTAGGTGTTTTCTATAGGCCAGGCACTACTTAACCATTTTTAATACTTTGTCCCATTCGATCCTAACAACAACTCTTGAGATAGATTAGTTATAATCCCTTCCTTCCCCTTTTTTTTGGGCAGATGTGGAAGCTTAGGTACAGAGAGGTTAATTAATTTAGGGTAACACAATTAGTAAGGGGCAGTGCTGGGATTTGGATCCCGGTAGTAATACATACTACATGCCATAAAAAGCATCTTTTACAACTCTGACTTCCCTTTTTGATGCTATTGCAAGTGGTAATTAAACAATAATCATGCTCCTTGTTGCATATCAGAGATGTACCCCCTAGAAAATCATGTGCAAATTTAATTTTTATAGCTCAAATTTGGTTTTCAATGTATAAGGGGATTTCCTAGTAAAAGAAATCCTTTAGTGTGGCAGATCGGAAAAGCATGATTATTTCTTCCTGTTTCTGTTCTGTAAATGCTGGTGGGTATACCTTGTATTTTCCAAGGGCTTTGTAAAACTAGGGGAGGCTTTTTGCAGAGGAATAGCTATTTGTCAAAGCACGGGATCTGAAAGCGGTAGCAGCAAGTGAAAAAAAATTGATTTTCAGCAGCATTCTAAAAGTGGTACAAAAATTTATGAAGA